TTGAGTTGTATAAGTTGTTTTTATATTCTGGATACTAACCCCTTATCAGATATGTCATTTACAAATTCTTTCATTCAGTAGGTTGTTGTTTAGCTTTGATCGTAATTTCCTTTGCTGTATGGAAGCTTTTTATTTTGGTGTAGTCCCAATAGTTTATTTTTGCTTTTGTTCCCTTGCCTCAGAAGACGGATCTAAAAAACTGTTGCTACAGCCGATGTCAGAGAAATTACTGCTTGTGCTTTCTTCTACGATTTTTATGGTTTCAGGTCTCACATTTATTAAAAATTTTTTTAATGTTTATTTATTTTTGAGAGAGAGAGAGAGAGAGAGAGAGAGAGAGAGAGAGAGAGGCAGAGTGCACGTGGGGGAGGGGCATAGAGAGACAGGGAGACCCAGAAACCGAAGCAGGCTCCAGGCTCCGAGCTGTCAGCACAGAGCCCGACGTGGGGCTCGAACTCACGAGCTGTGAGATCATGACCTGAGCCAAAGTCGGACACCCAACCGACTGGGCCACCGAGATGCCACTCAGGTCTCACCACATTAGAAACTTAATCCAGTTTATTTTTGTGTCTAGTGTAAGAAAGTGGTCCAGTTTCATTCTTTTGCATGTCACTGTCCAGTTTTCCCAGAGCCATTTGTTGAAGAGACTGTCCCTTTGCCATGACATATTCTTGCCTCTTTTGCTAAAGATTAGTTGACCATATAATTGTGGATTTGTTTTTGGGCCTTGTGTTATGTTCCGTTCATCTACGTTGTCTATTCTGTGCCCGTACCAGACGTTTTGATCACGACAGCTTTGTCATGTATCTTCAGATCTGGAATTGTGATGCTTTCAGCTTTGTTTCTCTTTTTCAAGATTGTTCTGGCTATTTGGGGTCTCTAGATGGTTCCGTACCAATTTTAGGATTCTTTGTTCTAGTTGTGTGAAAAATGCCATTGGTATTTGATAGGGATTGCGTTAAATCTGTAGATTGCTTTGAGTCGTATGGACATTTTAACAATATTTGTTCTTCTAATCCATGAGCATGGAATGTTTTCCCTTTTGTTTATGTCATCTTCAGTTTCTTTCATTAGTATTGTACAGTTTTCAGAGTACAGGTCTTTCACCTCCTTGGTTAAATTTATTCCTAGGTATTTTATTATTTTGGTGTACTTGTAAGTGGGATTGTTTTCTCAATTTCTCTTTCTGTTGCTTCATTATTAGTGTATAGAAAGCAGTGGATTTCTGTACATTGATTTTGTATCCTGTAGCCTTCCTGAATTCATTTATGAGTTCTAGTAGCTGTTTTGGTGGAGTCTTTAAGGTTTTTAGATATAGTATCATGTCGTCTGCAAATAGTGAGAGTTTTACTTCTTCCGTAATGATTTGGCTGCCTTTTGTTCCCTTCTCTTGTCTGATTGCTTGGGTAGGACTTCCAGTACTATCCTGAGTAAAAATGGTGACAGTGGACATCTTGCCTTGTTCCTGATCTTAGGGGAAAGCTCTCAGTTTTTTCCCATTGAGGATGATGTTGGTTGTGGATTTTTCGTAGATGGCCTTTATTATGTTGACGTTTGTTCTTTCTAAACCTACCTTATTGAGGGTTTTCATCATGAATGGATGTTGTACTTTGTCACATGTTGTATCTGCATCTTTTCAAATGATCTTACGGTTTTTATCCTTTTATCTTACGGTTTTTTGATGTGATGTATCACATGGATTGACTTGTGAGTATTGAACCACCTTTACATCCTGGGAATAAATTCCACTTGATTGTGGTGAATGATTATTTTAATGTATTGTTGGAGTCTTTTAATTTTTTTTAAATGTTTATTTATTTTTGAAGGAGAGAGAGAGACAGAATGTGAGTAGAGGAGGGACAGAGAGAGAGGAAGACACAGAATCCGAAGGAGGCTCCAGGTTCTGAGCTTTCAGCACAGAGCCTGACAATGTATTGTTGGATTCTGTTTGCTAATATTTTTGGAAGATTTTTGCATCTGTGTTCATTGGAAATATTGGCCTGTACTTCTCTTTTTTGTAGTGTCTTTATCTGGTTTTGATATCAGGACAATGCTGTCCCCATAGAATGAATTTGGAAGCTTTCCTTCTATTTTTTGTAGTAGTTTGAGAAGAATAAGTATTAACTGTTTTTTAAATGTTTGTTAGAATTCCTCTGTGAAGCCATCTGGTCCTGGACTTTTGTTGGGAGTTTTTTGATTACTGATTCAATTTCATTTCTGGTAATTGGTCTGTTCAAATTTTCTGTTTCTTCCTGATTCAGTTTTGGGAGGTTGTATGTTTCTAGGAGTTTATCCATTTCTTCCATGTTGTCCAGTTTGTGGGCATGTAATTGTTTATAATATTCTCTTATAATCCTTCATGTTTCTTTGGTACTGATTGTTGCTTCTCCTCTTTCATTTCTGATTAATTTGAGTCCTCTCTATCTCTCTCTCTCTTTTGGATGAGTCTTGCTAAAGATTTCTCAATTTTGTTGATCATTTCAAAGAACTGGTGCCTTGGTTTCATTGATTTGTTCTACTTTTTTTTTTTTTTTTTTTTTTTTTTTTTT